GGGCTGCAGGAGCCCAGAACTGACAGCCCAGGGACCGGAAGTGATGCAATCTGCATCGCTCCCGGTCCCATAGAACGGGGAGGGGATCGATGAACGGAAGTTCGTCAATCTCCTCCCCAGCTCCCCCCACGTCGTCAGTCACGAAGGGGTTAAAATAAGGAAGGGTGTCATTCCTGAGCTCTTAAGAATGTTCGTTTTCAGGCTGCCTGGCTTCAGCATTTTTTTTTACCTCACTGTACTTAAAACAAGCATTCATAAACAGCCCCGATGCTGGCGACGTACACTGTACGTCGTCAGTCACGAAGGGGTTAACACATACATAAGCACACACGAAAGCTAGAATTTTTAAGGGATAGGTCTGCAATGGCAGCCTCCATATTCCCTAACTATAGTTTCATATAAGTAACAGTAAACCGTAAATGAGTTTATAAAATGAAGTCTTGGATAGAATACGGAACCATTTCAGGGTTTGTATTGCTTTCTATATCGTAACTGGCAAGAGATTTTCCTCTCCCTGACATCAGGGAAACTTTTTTTTTTTTTTTAAAGAGTGGGGGGCAAAAAAAGGTTAGAACCTGTGTCAAGACGTATTGCTATCCATGACTGTCCAGTGAAAGTGATTTCTTGCCCTTGTATGAAAGGGACCAAATGGAGGGGGCACAGGCAGTAGATAAAACCTAAAGCGTATTTCCACTTCTGAAGTTAAATGAGAAATATATATCTTTGTTGTGTGTTCCCATTCACACAGCACAAATTATTATTTTAAAAATATTTTTTACCTTTTAGACATTTTGCTGCAGCAGGCAAGATGCCCAAATCTAGTTTTTTTTTCCTAAGCACTTTCACAGTGATCTGTCCTTATAGAAAGACTTTGGACTGCGATTTAAGGATTGTGTTTCTCTGAGCTTCTATAACATTTGAATGCAGAAGCCGGGTTTTTAGGACATTAACCCTTTGTTAGGATAGGAATTGTCCAAATCTACTTTACAAATGATAATGAACAAACCCTTCACAACCCCTCCTAACATTACACAGAGTAGAAAAATATAAGAAACCATAACCCAAGTAAAAAATTTAAACTGCAAGAAGCAGGATTTTTTTTTTTTAAGAGCTTATGCCATGTGAATGGGAACCTGTAACAAATATAAAAGATAGGTGTTCTCTCAATCTGGCTGCGAAAGTAGAAATACAATTTAAAAGGAAGAGCTAACCCTTCCCCACTCTAAAAATACATTTTATAAACCCTTTTATACTTCACTGAAGTTGGACTTTAACAGTATGAAGTGCCCAATAAGATATACTAAGATAGGCCTTTCAGAAAAAACAAACAAACAAAAACAACCTATATACTGTAGACTTCTATATAGTTTTCAGACAGCTATACAATTGGAGCAATGCTGCCCCTCCTGATTATCCTGCAAGAGTCATTCTATGAAGAGTTAGTGACTGGTAAAGCAGCCATTAACAGGGGCGTAGCTGACTACGTAGTCAAGTGCTTCCCATGAGGAGCCAGTGAAGAGTGCTGGCTTTTGGCAGAAAAAAGTAAACGACACCCAGTCTGCATTTAATAGCTTATCTGACACTTTCCAAAAAGGGAATTTAGACTACACACAGTCACAACTCAGTAAATAAACAAGCCAACTAAGTTTACCTATATAAGGCTGGTATGTTGCGCTTGGTGTTGTGTATTCCCGCTAATGTTGATTTCTACGTGTGTGTCATACACCTTGTGATATTTAGATGATTCTAAGTGTTTGGGTTTAATAATTACTCTGTTGTGAATAATGATAATAAAGATAATAAAGATATGCCCTATTCCACTTCTACTATAATAATATATTGTAGTGATGGTAACAATTGTGTGAAGGCTGTTTACCGACATAAGTTTACCGACATACACAAATAGGATGTACTTACAGGGGTAACCTTTACAGAGGACCTCAATAGGGGTAGACATTTTCTTCTCGCTAATACGTTCATACTTCTGGCGCTTGGTTGCTGCCTTCAGTCCTTGCCAAGGCAGCGACCCCAGGTTGAAATACATAAGCACATAACCCAGGCTCTCCAAGTCATCCCTGCGGCTTTGCTCTGCAAGGAAAAAAAAAAAGAAATAAAACCTTGACATGTGGCCATTTTCAAATTCAAAAAAATTCTGAAACGGGTGTTGATTTGTAAAAACTGGTGGTTTTTTTTGCTCATAGGAACCAGCCAAATCTTATAATGTGTTTACTAATTAGCAAGAAAACGATGGTGACAAACTGGATTTGTGGCTACAGGCAACAACAGCCACTGACCTTATCTAGCCCAGCAAGCCATATGCAACAGTGCCCAATACCATCCTTTGTACATCACTAATTTTTTCACATTTTGCTACAAAATGAAAGATGTCCTTGACAGCTACTAATAAAACACCATAATCCTTTTCAGTGTAATTTCCATACCATTAGGCGAGAGAGGTGTGGAACTCACATTCAGATGCCATCACTCTCCATAATAAAATTAGACCCAAGGAAATATTGGCCTTAAACCAGTAACCTTTTACTTTAGATGTGAATGAAATTATTTGTTTTCTGAAAAAAGGTACCTAACTTGGTAGAGAAAAAACAACAACACAGGAACCAAATGGAAATATTGGACAACCAGAGCATACCAATGGGGTGTTACCTGCTTAAACATTACACATGTGTGTAGGTAATCTGGAATAATGTGAGCCTGTACTAAGCATATACGAGTTACAATAAACTATCCACTAGCCTCGGAACCTGTTAAAATTGATATGGGCGTTACAGCTAGTGGATGTATGGAGGGTGTTGTATTCAAGAGATAGGAGAGACTACTCATTTTATTAATCGATACATGAAGCATACTCTAGGCTACATATGATCTTTACGAATCATTTTTCATTTGGAGTGTCTACAACAGATTGCTATAGAACGCATAACCATTTCTGACCACGTGCCAGTAATAGTAGATCTACTTGTGCCCTCCCTACCACGACGTCCAATGCCTTGGAAGCTGAATGCTTCACTTCTGCAAAATGAGACTGATGTGGCTGGCTTACTGGGGGAGCTTCGGGAGTTTTTTCAGCTTAATTCCATTGTGGATATGCCATTACTGGTTGTGTGGGAGATGCACAAGGCGGTCATGAGGGGGAAGTTGATAAAATTAGGCACCCGCCATGAAAGGGAGGGCTAGAATGCAGCAGAAGTTGTTAGCGGAGATGCATGCACTTGAACACTTTATAAACAATCTTTAATGCGCACACATTTAACACAGATCTTGGATAGAAGAACCGAGATCCTTGCTAGATATTAAAACGAGACGCGACTTCGCACATATTTCCCGCAGATATTATGAATGGGGTAATAAGCCGAGTAGACTCCTGGCTAGCTCTCCAACAAAAACATGTATCCTCGTGTGACGTCCTCGTGTGCTATGGTACATACAACTTCGGATTTAGGGATTTTTACTATACTCTTTATATTGTGCAGCCTCCGGTCTCTTCTGTTAATTTTGAGAGCAGGAAAGAGAACTTCCTCTTTACATGAGGTGGATTTGCCTGCGTTACCTGAATCTGTGCTGCATGCTCTGGAGGATGACATTACCGAGGAAGAATTTAGGAAGGCTATGGCCCATATGACAATTGGGAAATTACTTGGGCCTGATGGTTTATCTCTTATTATAGAACTTTTTGCGATGTTCTGATACCCCATCTCATGGCCTGTGCCAATGATATTGGTAAGGGGTCACATTTCTGTAGGGACATTACGCAGTTATTCCAAAGCCTGGTAAGGACCCTACCACATGTGCCAGTTCTAGACCGATCTCCTTACTGAACCTTGATTGTAAACTTTATGCTAAAGTCCTGGCAGATAGGTTGATCCCCCTAATACCGAGCTGTATACATTTTGACCAGATTGGTTTTATACCGGGGTAGGGATGTGTGGGATAACTCTTTGATGTCATACATGAGACGGTTCTCCCAGCCCACTCTCCTTTTGTCAACCGATGCAGAAAAGGCTTTTGACAGGGTGGACTGGGAGTATCTTTTTGCCATCCTGCAGTATATGGGTATTGGCCCTACGATTTATTGAGGCATTACAGCCCTATATGCTAATCCCACGGCCCAGGTGCGTATTAACGGAGAATTGAGTGAATCATTAACATTGCATAATGGGACTAGATAATGATGGTTTATAATGGGGTGCCCGCTTTCTTCGTTATTATTTTCCATTTCTTTGGAACCCCTCCTGGCAACTATTCCAGCAGATTCACCTATACAGGGTATTAGAGTCGGTACTCAGCACCATAAATTGGCGGCCTGCACAGATGATGTTCTCTTCTATGTACAGCAGCCCCGGATATCCCTTCCTAACTTAGTGAAAGCCCTCTTCTCGTTTGGGATGTTATCCAACTTTAAAATAAATTTAAAGAAATCTGAAATTTTGAATATCAATATACCTTTGGCAGAAGCATATTCCCTAAAATCAGTTTGTATGGGCTTGTACACATTTGAAACACTTGGGGATAGTATTGACGCCAAATATTAATTCACTCTTCCATTTAAATTATATCCCATTGTTAATAGGGTTAGGGGGGATTTACAACGTTGGCATTCGCTTTTTTCATAATTGGCTGGGAATGGTAAATGTTGTAAAGATGAATATCTTACCCAGGTTGCTATCTTAGTTTCAGAGGCTCGTGTTTGGGTTTACGAATGATTATTTTAAGTTACTTCAGTCTGTGATAGCCAAGTACATATGGAGACGTACTAAATCGAGGGTCTCCGGCTTGGTGTTGGCTCAATCTAAAGTAAATCGTGGTCTTGCGGTTCCAAACCTTAGAAACTTTATTATCATGCTGCAATGCTTACCCGGGTTGTGGATTGGATATATGCAGGTCAGGCTAAACAGTGGGTTGCCTTGGAGAGTACCTTGAGTAGATCGGAAATTAATTCAGTGACATGGATTCCTAGAAGATTCCGGAAACCTCGCCTTTGACAACGTCAACCCTGGTGGTGTGGGATACTACTTTGTTGAAGGCTGGCTGTTCTTTACAACTCTCCTGTTACCCCCTGACTGGTCATGCATATTTTATGCCAGGTAAATGGGATATGAAGATTGGCTATCTGCACAGTTACATTTATGTTGGATAAGCTGTCCAGATGGAAGAATGTTTTTCTTGTTAGGTGTAGATGTTGATTTATACTATGTAAAAAAACAAAAAGGGAGCCCAGGCAAGTCAGATGTGACCCAGAGATAAGGCTGGCAGGGTGTGGCTCCATTTGGTAGCTCCTGATATCTGTCAATGTTTGTGACTCCGGAGTGTAGTCACATTGCCAATTTCACTTAAAAATTTGTCAAATAATTTTATGTTTTTTTTTTTACAAACAGGTCTTGCCTTTCCAGAATTTTTTTTTTTTAAATTGGTATGTGGGAAACATTACATAGGGGACCTGAAGGAATTATATAAACTATGATAGACATAGCATCCAGTGGCCTCCATGCATTTACTGATTAGGGAACAACTGCAAGGTTAGAAATGAGTGAATAGTCCACAAACATTAGAATATA